ATTCTTGTACGATGGGAAGATATTTTTTACTGTATGATATAATATTATCATATTCTTCTTTCTCGAAATGGGCATTCAATAACGTCTTGTACGCATTCATTTCAGCCACTTTATGACCAGATTCTTGTGCGATGGCAAGACATTTTNCCACTTTATGACCAGATTCTTGTGCGATGGCAAGACATTTTGTACCGTATGATATAGCATCATCATATTCTTCTTTCTTCAAGTGGGCATCCCCTAACATCATATACGCTTTCATCTCAACCACTTTTTTACCGGATGCTTGTGCGATGGCAAGACATTTTGTACCGTATGATATAGCATCATCATATTCTTCTTTCTTCAAGTGGGCATCACCTAACATCTCGTACGCTTTCATCTCAACCACTTTTTCACCAGATGCTTGTGCCATGGCAAGACATCTTTTACTGTTTAATATAACATCATCATATTCTTCTTTCTCCAAGTGGGCATACCCTATCGCCAATATCATGTAAGTGGTCATGTCATCCTCCTTATCTTCACATTCCGCTCCTGTAGTGCTCTTCCTGAAATCACTCATGATGTGGTCATCTAGTGTATTCAAAGCAGAAGTACAAAGACCAATGACCTTCTCATCACTGTGTTCCTGGGCTACTGCTAAGCATTCTCTGTACAGACAGATACGTTGTTCTGCAGTCAGACCAAGTTCCAAGTGCGTTGCTGAAGCAGCCGTAATCCATGCTAGTGATCTTTTTCTCTCCCTAATATTGCTGTCTCTACTCGCGGGGTCACTCATCGTTTTTCCTGTTTTGCAGTTCAGTAGCCTGCCTTAGTTTGAATACATCAACGATTACCACAGAGCTGTGAATAGCAACGAATAGCTTGAATATATATCCTCAATTAGTCCGCAATGTCATTCAAAGTTTGTAGTGATTCCACCATGTTTGAGTCATGAGTTATGGTTACATCTTAAATTGTGAGAAATTAACTTTGGTCGCCACCCTGTAGTTGTGTCTGTACGTCACATCTGGACTACTTTCTAATTTGGACTGAAGTTGGATATTTGGTTTGCTTAGTTGTTTAGTTCACTGTAAGGTTTGTTTTGATTGTCTTACTCGTCCTTCACCAACGGTGACGTCATGTCGCACCTTAGACAAAGGGGGGTTCGTCTTCAACCTCCAGACTTAAAAGTCATACCAAGTTGATATAAAAGCTGGAAAGAAAGAAAAATAGGCGCATATCTTTAAGGATAGTTCGCTCAATAGCAGCTCAAGGTTGGCTGTGATTTTGAACATTTCCTGGTCTTTCATCGAAAAGTAATTTATCAAGTACTTGAAAGAGTGTTTTATCCTTTTTGCAAACATCTCGAAGTTGGTTAACAAAATTGGGCCACGCCTAGTTTTTCCAACACAATTCTCGATGTTTGGAAATCGTACAACACTCCTTTTCGCACTTGATCATGTATTGCTGGTTTACAATCATTCCCAAGAGAATTAAATAATAAAAGACACGGTGGCCATGTTGGAGGATATAACAAAATAATTACCCTTGCAAGACCAGCCAAGCGTTAGAAATCGAAAGTCAATCAAAATTCACACCAAGATCGATACTAATATACATTTGAATCTCCACTTGCGGACGATCTCTTAAGCGGACAGCTCGAATTACGGACAGCTTTCCAAAACCCCGTTTGCGGATGCAAATATTCCGGATACGTGTGGACGGGGCCTAAAATTGCTATTATTAATCTTCAGAAATGCTTATGTTAACGGAAAACGACACTATATAACATTATTAGTCCGTTTAAAAACCCCTTTCTATTAGGCGGACATCTTAACTAACGGACACTTTTTCCGTTTTCCAAGGGTGTCCGCTTAAGGGAGATTAAACTGTATATTTATTATATAGTTAGCGCCCGTGCGCTGATTGGTCAAAACCTTTGCTTCATTAGTGAACAGAGCACAGTGCTGCGACCGTCTTTCTTAATTTTGCTAAATAAATTCAATAACAAAATAAGATGAGTAGCTACTGTTATTAGGGCCAACCAGCCCATATTATTATTGTATAAGTTGTTTAGTTGTCAATTAGAACTGAGTATAACATTCGAGAACATTCTGTAACCTTTTACTTGAGTTATGTTAAAGAAAACGTCTAGAACCATCTAGAAGCATCAATGCTTAGTCATTGTGATTCAGTACATTTACAAAGAACATTCCGGAATGATGTAATAATTATATTTAGTATTATTGATATGTCTATATTTAGAAATAAATTAGGTATATAACAGCCAGAATGATGAGTTTAGCCTTAGTTAAGTGCAAGCCTTCATTTAGTATATTGTCTACAGTCTTGGTAGCTGGTCAAGAGAGCTTTACTATAGAACAACAAGAAGAAGAGGAAATAAGAAGATTCTGAACAAGTGACAAGAACTAAAAAGCTCTGGAGGCATGCAAGCTATTAAACTGTTCGTAATAATTAGATCAACTAAGTTTAGACTAGCTAACTAGATTTTGTCTAGCTCGATCGTATTTTTGTATCTAAGATTAGTTTTGGTGTTATTAAAACACATTTGTAATTCATTCACTTGGCACCGTTAATCCCCACGGGATGAACGAACGCTTCGTTTATATTTAAGTTATTTCTCACCTATTGTCACGAAGGGAAGTGGGGGAGTAATACGTTCCCTTGCGACGATGAGTTTTGCTGTCTCTATTTCTGGACCTAGAGAAGACGCCGAGACTGCTTACTGCTTGTGCTTTCTTTTATTTGGCTGCTCGTTGCCTCAACTCAACTCAA